ACGGAGAGTTCTTCGAGAGTTCGTCAGCGACTGCGATAATCGGAGGAAGTCTGAAGATTGACCACCACTTTGGATGGAAAGAATCCGCTGTCCATCACCCATCCACGGCAAACTGTTAGGGTGGATATGCGCGACGCTAAGGCGATAACCACATTTTGAACGAACAAGCCACCCCGTCCGTGTATCTCTTGCAAGCTTCTAAGGTGGATGCGCGCGGCCTTGAACACGACTTGTGCGTCAGTATTGTAATTCAGTGTTCCCGGTGTCTGACGACATACGTGTGCGAAACGACGTCGAGAGCTACGTTTTGCGGCGGTAGTGCGAAACTCACTTGTTCAAACCATACATCCGCCGCCCATCCAGAGAGCACTTCGGACTTGCAAATTTACGGATCACAAGCGGCGAGGTAAGTCCCAGCCGAATCTCCCAGCTTGCCTTTCCGAGGTCGATATTTGCGAGGCCACGCGTTGCTGGAACACGCGACGTCGGAGGGTTGCGGACGCGACGCAGCGGGGAGCGTGCGTGCGCCGCGAAGTTTCTCGCCAGGGGATGGGCGCGGTTGGACAGCCCATGGGCGAGGGTGACCATAGCGTGCGCGAGTTTGTTGTCACCCTCCGCGGGGGCGTTTTCACCGCTGCCAGGGGGTCGGCGGTTTCCTCTCCTCCTCCTCCTCCTCCTCCTCCTCCTCCTCCTCCTCCTCCTGGATGGATGCATCTCTCATGACGTGTTGCAGAAGGCTTGGGGGAGGCAAGTAATTAGTGTCCTACGGGCTGCCAAGCCTTGGGACCAAGTCGCAGGCGCGACAGGTGCTATGCTGCTTGCGTTGCGTGACGTCGGGTGGCAGTCTGTTTCAGCGTTTATACCATCGTCGCGGACCTTGGTGATAAGGTTGATGTTCGACGTGCGGTTCCCGTCGATGTTCGTGGCTTGGCCGAAGCTGCTGCTGTTCGTACGATGTAGTGCTCTTGGGCAAAGAAGAGGAGCAACCCCGCCGACGACGGGATAGACCCGAAGGAAGGATGTTGGTTGGAACCTATCATGCAGAGGCAAGCCAGTCTAGGGTGTACAAATCTGCGAGGCTCCCTGGCCCGGTCCCATGGCTGATGGTTCTGGACGAGAGGTTTGGCCTCGCGATCATGCTTCCCGCCGCTACCAAGACTCGACGACAGTGACCGCTGGCGCGTGGTACGGGAGTTTAGATTGCGTCACGGGTGACATCTCCACTGGCGGCGCGTGCAAGAAGGCATGGTTCTGGTCAGAATGATCGAGAGCGGGGTGGGGTTACGTCAAGTAACCAACCATCTTGATCTTATGGTATACGGAGCACTTCCAGGACCCATTCCGAGCTCCCCCAGGGCTGAGCTTTACGCTGTTCTGAAGGTTCTCTAGAAGTTTGTACCAGCCCAGTGCATGTGCATACTGACTCTATGGGCATTGTGGGCAGTTTGTCCTGGGGTCCAGCCTACACTTATGGCCCAAAAGGCCTAATGCTGATCTCTGGGCGTCCACCTGGCACACCATCGAAGGTCTTGGGGGCCTTGGATGGGGCCCTGGGAGTTTCGCGCGCGAGAGGACATCAAGTAGGAGACTCCCAGGCTGCCAGGGCCAACCGGTGGGCCGACCTGGCGGCTCGCGCGGGGAGAGATTTCTGTGTTGCGACCACGCAGCAACAGAAAGCCATGGCGTCTCGCTCTGAAAACCATTCGAGAAGTGTTGCACTGGCTTTTGGAAGCGCATTTGCGTCATCTCTCTGCTGGCGGGATCACACAGGCGAGAGAGGGCAAGCCCCGTCCGCGAGAAGTCTAGAAGGACTGTGTCGCTCCCACACTATTCGCATGCGCCGCCACCTTCCCGATGGGGGAGGGCTTTGTCCGATGGGCAAGCAGGGAGAAGCTGCTTGAGGGCCCTCGAAGCTCGGGGGGCGACCGGCTTTCGAAGCGTGTGACGCGAGTCAGAACTGCCTTCGCCCTTCTGTCGGGCTGCGGACTGGCTCCGACCCTGTCGCCGCGGCCTGGGCGTTCCACGGACCTTGGCCGAACTGGAGGGCTGACGCACTCCGCCCCGTTCGCTGCCGAGGGCGAAGGCCGAGCTCACTCCATTCAGGGCCCTTTCGGGTCCTCGGGGCAGGCTCCTAGAAGCCAATCGGGTGAAACCCAGGAGGAGCGAAGACGAGCGCCTGAGTTTGAGTTTGATTTTATCGAGTTGTCTCACCAACGCCCACTTCCATCGTCCAACAGCTCGAGAGCTCGGGAAGAGGGTCCCGAGACCAGGAGCACCAGACGTCGCGTCGAGCTTAACCTTGTCGTTTCCACATCCTCGGTGGATGCTAGCTTTCTTGCCGCGGCTGTGGAGAGAGTTTGCGTTCCCTCGGAAGTGTCCGTGTCGGGCCGTGAGTGCTTGGGCACGGTTGGCCCTGACATTCCGATGCCTGAGGGGGCCGCTTCGTCCCAGATCGCAAACGGCAGCGCGCGGGGCTTGGGCGAAACGATAGGCCCAGAGAAGCGGATTCAGGGGGCGCAGACTTTGGGTGGCATCAGGACAATGCGTCCTCTGCGTGTCGCGCGGATTTTCCTCAACGGGGGCAGCGGGGCACCTGCCGGTGAATTGTGAGGCCGACGAAGGCCGCATCTCAGAACGTGCTGCCCGTAGTCGCAGATTGTTTTTGGCTGGGAAGCACCCGGCTGATGAAGGAAGAGAGCGGCCCAGGACCTTTTCGGCTCCCAGGCCGCTGGCATCCCGGGGCCCCGAAGTTCATTGGCTGCGGCTCCTTGCGGAGCCGCGGTGGACCGCTGGCAGCCTGCGTTCTACTTCCTCGCAGTGTGAGGCTGCCTTCAACATTTCATAACAATCTTGCGCCCCGCGCCCTATTCGAGATCCCGCTGGTGGGCGAGGGTGCTCCGTGGAGCTTCGAGGGTGGCTGATGCGTCGCTCTCCATCTGTTGTGCCCGCTTGTGCTGACGCGCGGCGGCGCCAGGCAGCGTCTTATCCTTCGCCGATCTCCCGCCGCGCCCTGGCTCTGCGCTCGACCTGGTATTCTTCGCGCCTCGCGTATCCCCGCTAGCGCGTTCAGTGGCCCTGCCCATGGGCGCTGACGGGGGAAGGGACAAAGAGGCACATGCTTGGCTCCAACAAAAGTTTCTCCCTTGGACATCCGCAACAAGAAGTATATGTATGTGCGCCCATCGGCGAGATGAGTTGTCGCGCGCGCGTGCTCAGCGCTCGCGCGCGCGATCTCAAGACGTCTCCATGGCCGCAAAATGGTTCCAGGAGGGCCTGAGACCACAAACGATAACGTCCAGACGACCCCGCGATGACGCCGCCCGAACACGATACCGCCATGGATTCTGGACCGTCGCAGGCGGATTCGAAGATTACCAAACACATGAGCCACGAGCGACGCCGAGATGGCCCGACGGCAACAAGATGGATGCGCCCAGGGTGGCCCGTGCATGAACACGCGACGGCTGCGCTATCCAAGCATGACCGATATATGATCTCAACATGACCTCAAGACGACCCTGACATGCAAGGAATGCTTCAACTTCGGAGCCTCACCTTACTTCGAACCGATACCAGCACGGCGGGAACCGTGAACCACCCGGGATAGTTGCTTACCTTGTTTATGGGTGGGATCTTAGTCGAGCGGAACTAAAATGATATTATTTAAAGGGGAGTAAGTTGGGCGGGATCCCGCCCGGCCCACGGCCTAATACTACTTTGCTAGGCTTCTACAGGGGGTAGGTGGGTTCAGACAGGCGTCATGTACTTCCGCTGTCTTCCGCAAGCCTTCCAACGGCCATCAGCCGTCTTCCGCCTCGCCACACTTCCGTCGGCTTCCGCTAGCGAGCGATGTGACGAACATTCAAGGAACTTTCATTGGGCCGATGTATAGTTAAGCAGAGCTGGCAACCAGGATGACAAGAGAGATCTCTGGGAGCAAGGGGATGGCCTTGGAGGGCCTGTTCGGGCCATCCCTGGGGTCCGCTGGGGGGCAAGGGGAGGAGGAGGAGGAGGAGGAGGAGGAGGAGGAGGAAGAGGAGGAGGAGGAGGAGGAAGAGGAGGAGGAGGAGGAGGAGGAGGAGGAGGCTGAGGAGGAGGAGGCTGAGGAGGAGGAGGAGGAGGAGGAGGAGGAGGAGGAGGAGGAGGGAAAACCGCTTGTTGGTGCCTTCGTGGGACGCTCGGTGCGCTCTTGGGCGCTCGTGGGGCCGTGGATCAAAAGGAGGGAGGGCCCTCGATTTGCCTCCCCGCTCTGGGGCCTTCAAACGCGCCTCTTGGGGCCCTGTTGGGCCTCTTGGGCCCCTCTTGGGGCTCTCTTGGGCCATCTTGGAGCAATCGCGAGGCCTCACAAGCGCATCGGACGCGAAACGGCGAGAAGGCAACATTCACTAAGTTTCCTTCGGTATTTGAAGAATTTTGCCTCTTCGGGGGGTCCTGAGGGGGCTCCGAGAGCATTTGGAGCTGTGTTGTGGCCCTCGTCGGGCCTCTTGGAGGTATGTGGGAAGCTCATATCTTAAACCATCTTCGGCCATCTTGAGCCGCCTCGGAGGCCATCTTGCAGCATTGCAGGCCCTCTTGGAGCCATCTTGGGCGCAAACGGACCCTGTACCACCTGGCGCCCCCCGAAACAAAAACTTCAGGAAGGGGAGGGGGAGGGTACCCCTCCCCGAAGGGAGGAGGGTTTTGGAAGATGAAAGAATGACATCGTTAGACCACCTACGCCCAAAGGGCTGGTGGAGTTGTTGGCGAACACCATTTCTGCTACGCGCGCTTCTCCTGCTCCCGCCGCCTGGTGCTTTCTGAAGCCCTGCTGCAGCCCTGTCACCTGATTCTCCCCGATGGCGATGAACTCACTGAAGGCAAACACTTGTTCTGTCCTGGTGTGATTTGTTTTGCCTCCACTGGGCTCGTTGCCAATTGTTTGTTTTCGCAGAGCTTATTGCCATTTTTTATTCGCGTTCAGTGAGCTCTCCCTCTTCCCGAGGTTGGGCTCCCTGGCCCGCAGGAGCACCAGCTCCGGATGGCCTTCAAGACCATGGACATCGACGGAAACGGCATCTTGGACGTGAAGGACACTCGCCGGGAGGAGGAGGAGGAGGAGGAGGAGGAGGAGGAGGAGGAGGAGGAGGAGGAGGAGGAGGAGGAGGAGGAGAGGTGATAATGAAGGTGAGGTGAGGTTGAGGTGAAGTGGGGTCGGGGGGTGGGGTAGGGGTGGGGTGAGGTGGGAAGGTGGACTGAAGACGTGGGGTGAGGTGAGGTGAGGTGAGATGAGATGAGATGAGCAAGCTGCCTGGAGCCAGGTTCGGTCGGAGGAGGAGGAGGATGTTCACACGTGCACAGGTACGCAGCTGCGTGCTTGCATGTAACCCATGGCGCACGGGCGCGCGCGCGCGGGTTTGCGGCTCGGCCGCCAGCGTATGTCCATGGGGCCCGTGGTGGTACACGCCATGCGGTAGGCAGCGCTGAGTTCGTGCGTCTGTGTGTGTGTGTGTGTGCATGTGTGTGTGTGTGTGTGTAGTAAGTGCGTTCGTGTCTTTATCTTCGCTTTTGTGCATGCTCGCCTTCTCGTGGCCCCATCCCTGGATTTCAAGGAATTGGCTGGAGTGCGATCGTGTGATGTCCGATTGCAGTTTAACTAGCGCGCCAGCCTAGTTGCTGACAAGGCGGTGGTTCATCGCTGCGGTGGAGGACGAGTGTGCGCGCGCGCGGGTATGTGTGTGTGTGTACGTGTGTGGGGGTCTGTTCATGGGCCCTGACGGGACCTGCTTTGTCACTTTAACCAATTTGACTCGATTTGGGCTTCGTCAGCTGAAATCATTGCGCGCTTGCCTTGTCTTCGGCCTACAGGGCGTGATCGGCCATCGGTTTGCAGTCCTGTGCTAACGCAGCAGGGGACCAGCTTGTCCCGTCACCATGTCTACTTGTCTTCTGCAGTACAGGTCTTCTGCTGCTTCACTGCGCCATTCATCTAACCTATTTTCGGATTGGGCGACTTCGCATTCACTCCCCGTGGTAAGTCCCAGGACCTGCACATGTCGTCGCGCCTTACTTGAAACGGTGAGGGTTCTCCAGCACACGAGTTTTGTCCTTTCCTTCCCCTTCTCTCTCTCTCTCTTTCTCTCCCTCCTTCCCTCTCTCTCTGTCTCTTTTTCTTGCTCTCTCTCTCTCTCTCGCCAACTTTCGCACTCCCCTTTCGTGGAGTGTGAAGGAGCTCAAGCACCTCTTTGCGCAGCTGGGGCAGCTCCCGAGCAACGGGCTGATAGACGGCATGATCTACCTGTGCGACTCTCGCGGCGACGGCACGGTGAGCGTGGACGACTTTGTGTACCTCTTCACGCACCCGATCGAGGCTCTTAGCGTCGTCAACAGGGACTTCGGTAGCAATAGGGCTCCACATGCGAACTCTGCCCCTACCCCCCACGATTTCTGAGGGGGAGGGTGGGGGGTAGGGGCAGGGTTCGCATGTGGCCCCCTGAGCAAATCGTGGAAGCCTTGTGCACCCTCGCAACTCTGTCTGCCGCGTCGACTGGCGCCGATCAGCGTCTGGGAGTCGATGTGATGGCGCCGATTCAGCGTCGGCCAGCGTCGATTCAGCGCCCACTTGGCGTCGATCGGCGTCGACTGGCGTCGAGTCGCAAGAGCCGGCACAGTGGCAGGGGAGGCTCCCGTGCGCTGCCGCCGACGAGGACGAGCTGCAGAGGGTCGTCAGCGGCAACCAGCGGGGCAGTTCGGACGACGAAGACGAGGATCCTCGCGGAGGGCGCCCGGGCACCGCCGCCGCGCCTGGCCGGGGCCATCCTCTGGGCCCCGGGAGCGTGCCTCTGCCCCTCCTCGCCTCGGCCGGGGGGGGGGGGGGTACCTCCCAGACTCTCGACGCCGTTGTTGTTCCGCCGCGTGGGCCCTCCTCCTCCTCCTCCTCCTCCTCCTCTCCCTCCTCCTCCTCCTCCTCCTCTCCCTCCTTCTCCTCTCCCTCCTCCTCTCCCTCCTCCTCTCCCTCCTCCTCCTGCTGCTCCTCCCTTTCCTCCTCCTCCTCCTCCTCCTCCTCCTCTCCTCCTCTCCTCCCTACTACGCTGTCCTCCTCCCTCCTTCTCTCCCCCTCCTCATCATCCTCCTCCTCATCCTCTCCTCCTCCCTCTCCTCCTCATCCTCTTCCCCTTTCTTTCTCCTCCTCCTCCTCCTCCTCCTCCTCCTCCTCCTCCCCTTTCTCCTCCTCCTCCTCCAATTAACCAGCTTTTCATCCTCTGTTGTCTTTGGTTATCCCGTGGCCCAGCAAAGGCTCCCAGAGGCCGAAGCTGGCAAGCACATCCCTTTATGTGTTTCCCTGTCTGACAGATTTGGGGTGGTTACGTTTTGAGAAAGGGGCTCTCGACTTGCCTGGTCCTTTCTGCAAAATGCGGCCGCCGGGCCTTAAGTATCCGGGATAGCCCCTGCCTGCGTGTCCCGCCTCAACGAGCCCCACCAGGGAGGCGCCACGGCGTCAAGCAGTCCAGGCGTCACCACGTTACGTCGTGTGCAGACATCCAGAACAGACTTCTAAAAGAGAGATCAAGAATACATCAATCACGCACAATATCACATTTGAATGCAATCCATGAAGGACAGTCTAATAGTATCCATCAGTGGGACACACGCGCAACTCGCATCAGGTACACATCAATGATACGTGTTAAGAACAGCCACCGATCACGTGCACCAGTGACATCAACATTATACCACAACGCATAACCACTTGCAGCCACGCGCAACTGGAAACAAAGAACATGAGTCAATTTCGACTACGTGCATCACGCATCAAAGCCTCGCTTCAATGCCATTATCGTGCATACAACACTTACATCAAGAGCACATATCAACACAACGCAATCACTTCAACCACAACTGTCGCCAACACACGAGCAGCGTGCAACAGCAGCATGCTCTACGACCATGTGCCAATACCATGCACCTAACGCCTGCGTTATGAACGCGCGTGGGTACACACGCGCGCGCAACGTACACCCGTAACATACACCACTCGCACACGTCAACAACAAACACCACGATCATACCACCAACAGGAATAGCAATCGGGACATCTACTAGCAACGTGCACCAATAGTGAACATCAAATTCAGACAGCAAAGCGACACGACAATGGCATGCATCCATGACACCAATCACGTGTGCCAGTTGCATAAGCAAGCAGCATACTATACAGTAGCACACATCTGGCTTTTCTATCAATAACGGACGTCAGCCACATACACTGATGCTTGCACCACGCACGGTCAGCCAGCATACATACCAACACGAGACATCCATATCATACGACCATCATGTAAGCCAGCAGTCGGAAGCACTCTCACATGACAAACTTGCGTTCACACCATCTATCAACATGTCACGCCGACTACATCAATAAGGAAGCCACACACATCCGAAGCCAGCGTCAGTAACATCCATAGTCTCAGCACGGGTGTACATACGTTGCACAATCACATATTGTTAGCACATGCATGCGTCAGTCAAATGACGACAGTGAGAAGTTCGCAAACATATGAATTGACGTCCGTACGCATCAAGAATACAAACATTTGCATCGATCATGCGTGAACAATGATGTCACCCGTCACACTGTAAGGCCACACGCGGCAGACTGCGACACCATTCGCAGCAAGTTCCTGTGTGTGGTGAGAAGCCATTCGCAGCAGCTCCCCAATGGTTTTCGCCCGAAGCTACTTGCACAACGCGAACGGGTCTGGGTGCACCATGCCAGGGCACGGGATGGCCCTGACCAGGCATGGGCGTGGCCTGTGGTGCCTTCTGCGTAAGGACGAGGACGACGGCTCCAGCGGCAGCTCCAGCGGCAGCAGCCTCGCCGGCCGGCGGCCCCCGCAGCTGGAGGCACCCGCCAGCCAGCCGGCGCAGGAGGGACCCCACGCCGCTGACGCCGCCGCCGCGAACGTCGCCACCGTCGCAGTCGTCACCGCCGCCGCCGCCGCTGCCGCCGCCGCTGCCGCCGCCGCTGCCGCCACCGCCGCCGCGGCATCCGTCGTCGTCGTCGTCGTCGTCGTCGTCGTCGTCGTCGTCGTCGTCGTCCTCGTCGTTCTCGTCGTCGTCGTCGCCGTCGTCGTCGTGGTGCGCGCCGGCTGGCGTGCGCAGGAGGGCCCCCCGCAGCTGGAGGGGCACGCGGACCAGCCGGCGCTGGTGGAGGGCTGACCAGCGCCGTTCCCGCGCTGGCGCTTGAGGGCCGATTTCAGGGGTGACGGCAGGGGAGGATTGGTCCAGGGAGGGAAGCATCGACCCCCAAACGCCCATTCAGCCCACCAGTCCAGGAACGTGCGGTGCTGCTGTCAGGTGCCTATCGCCGATCTATCGGCGATGTATCGCGAGTTCAAGCTCGATGTTCCCCCCCCAGAGCTGATCCACCACCCGTATCGTTCCCCCTCACGGTTGGGAGGGCGCCAACTAAGTGCATCAACGCCGATCGAGGATCGAGGATCGATTGTTTGTTTGAGGCTTTGACTCCTTCTGGGCCCTCGAAGCCGCCTGGGGGCCTTAGATCTGGGCGTCGTGAGAACATCGGGACCGCCGCTCCCGCCTCGTTTCTGGACCCTCACTGGTGGAACGGGCTCGGTAAGTGAGTATCGTTTAACAGATCCCTACCCCCATGCCCATCCCCATCTCGACCCCATCATCCCACCACCCCAGTTGGGGATATACCCTTCAAAACCCAAGGGGAACAGCCTGTATCCCCATCTGGGGGGGTAAATCGGCCAGTTGGCCCAGGCCACACCAGTGGGGATGGGGATCGGTTGAACGATGCTCAATAACTTCCGCCTGAGGCGTCTCGACCTGAGGCGCCGTCGATCCCCGACATGCAGGCTACGCCGCAGAAGTCTTCGGCCCCCGCGCCCGAAAAGTCCTGCTCAGCATGCGGCGCTGGGGCAGGGCCTGAGGAGGTCCGATCACGGGTACTCCAGATTTCGTAATAAAAGGGAGGGGGTCTGGACCCTCCAAGACGAGCCATTTCAGACCCCCCCCCGTGGGAGAACCCTCCAAAACATCGTCCCCAGACCCCCCCGGGCCCTCCAAGATAGCCTGGAAGAGACCCCCTCCCCGAAATGAGACCCCCCTCCCTTTATTACGAAATCTGGAGTACGGTGCGCTCGTGACGTCATCGCATGAGAGGCCCCGTGCAGTGGGCCCGGGAGCGGGCCCAGCCAGGCCTGTCGTCGGTGCGGAGGTGGCGTCCTCCCTCGGCCACGCGCAGAGGGGGGTAGAAGGGGAGGGGGGAGAGCTCCTCAGCAGGTGGCTGCTCCTCAGAGGGCGCGGGCCTCCACTATCTGTAGAGTTGCAATGCCCGCGCCTTCGAAGAAGCAGCCCCCTCTTCAAAGAAACCTTCCCCCTTCCTCCTACTCTTAGGTCGGGCACATCCTCCTACAGGGGGACTTTGGAGACGAATGACAAAATAATCAACATATATCCAAAATTAAGTAAGCAACAGTCGAAACATCGCCCCCAGACTAATGTTTAACTATTCTCGAATACAATGCCGTTATTAAAATTTTGATCACCCCGTCGACGAGGCCCCCCTCCCCCAGTAGAATCCTACAACATGGCATCCGCCTGCGGCGGAGTAGGTTTCGGATCCCGCCCACCCCGTTTCTCCTTAGTATCATAGATTTGTTACGGTGTAAAACTAACTCCGCACTTTTTCACATGGACCGTGTTCCTGTTGAACTTACTCCGCGTCGTCGTTCAGCAGACGAAAACCTACTCCGTGTCCCCCGAAACTTACTCCGCGTGTGTTTTACGAGGCTGAGCGACCTCAGATCTTGAGGGGTACTTACCGTCTCTCAGTTCTGCCCGACTGCGCGCGGGCCGCGGGTCCGCGCATGCCATTTGGAAGAATTGCCAAAAACGTTGATACCGGCATCTTATTCTCCTCTACAGTCAAGACGCGGAAATAAGGACCGCTTCACGCTGAGGAGGGGCTTTCGGGTTTTCGGGCCGTTCCTTGGATCTACGTCGTGGAACCTGTTTGTGGGTCTACGTCGTGGAACCTGTTTGTGGCCAAGGCCCGCCCTGGCCAGAAGAGCCCCTTCGTTCCGTATTATTCGCTCCTTATGGTCGCACGGTGGCTGTAGAGGGACGTGCCCGACTCAAACCTGACCTCCCGGTCGGGCACGTCTTTTTGCAGGGGGATTTTTGAACACAAGTAAAAGAATAATCAAAACTGGTCCAGAAGTAACCAAACAGCAGTCGAAACATCGTCCCCAGACTACTTTTCATCGCGCCAGCATCGCATAGCGGATTTCGTTCGGAAAACGATTCTACAGGCTTACGCCACATCCGCCGACCCCTTCTGTGAGTGTTGCGAGGCCAGCGGCGTCTTGTGTGAGGGTGCGATGTCGCGCGCGGGGGTCCAAATGTTTGCGTGATGCCGGTGGTCTGGGGCGTGTTTTGCGAGCGCCTTGCGTGCTGTGCACCCGGGTGCGGGGTGTCCTTCTGGGAGGTCGGCCTTTCGACCCGCAGCCAAGTGGAGGACCACCGGAAGACGAAAGGAGCAAGAGTGGTGTGCGGAAGCTGTGTTCAGCGAGGCATCGCTGCGAAAGATGTGGCAGATGAGTCGAAACGGGTGAAGAGGCTGTTGACGTTCGCAGCGCGCACGGAACAGTTCGCGCGGCAGCAGCACATTAGCGCCGAGCAAGGTAGTGAGCACCTCACGAGTAAGAGTAAGGCTGTATGTGCGGAGTGCATTGCAGTTGGCTTCACGGCTCGCAATACGGAAGCGTCTGGGGGTCTTTGCGGGGCCTCCTGGGGGCCTCTTGGGGGCTCCTTGGGGCGTCTTGGCGGCCTCTTGGGGGCCTCTGGCGGCCTCTGGGGGCATTCTTGGGGGCTCGTGGGGGCGGAAAGGTAGATTTTTGAATTTTTGGTTGCCCTCTTAGGCCCCTCGTGGTGCCGTCTTGGAGCCTTCTTGGGCCGTCTTGGGGACCTCTTGGCCGTCTCGGGCCATCTTGGGCAGTCGTGGGGCCGTCTTGGGGGCCTCTTGGGCAGTCTTGGGGCGGTCTTCGGGGCCTCTTGGGCCGTCTTGGAGCGTCGGAAAGCCCACGGGGCGAATTTGTGAAACACATACGTTTTACGAAGGAAATTAGCATATTTCTGCGTCTAGGGACCCTCTTGGGGCGTATCTTGGAGGCCTCTTGGGGGCGCCTTGGGCCATCTGGAGGCCATCTCGGGTGTCTTCGATCGCTCTCGGACCGTCTGGGACCATGTTGAGCTCTCTAGGAAGCATTTGGAGCGCTCCTGGAGCGCTCTTGGGGCCGTCTTCGGGGCTCTCTTGGGCCGTCTTCGGCGCCTCTTGAGCCGTCTTGGGGCGGGCCCTCTTGGACCGTCTTGGGGCGGTCTTGGGGGCCTCTTGGGCCGTCTGGGAGCGTCGGAAAGTCCAAAAGGCGAATTTGTGAAACATGTACGTTTTACGATGGGAGCGGGCCAATTTTTGCGTCTAGAGGCCCTCTTGGGACGCATCTTGGATGCCTCTTGGAGCCTCTTGGGGGCATCTTGGGCCGTCTGGAGGCCATCTTCGGTGTCTTTGATCGCTCTTGGACCATGTGGGACCATGTTGATCTCTCTTGGAGGCCACTTGGAGCGCTCCTGGAGCGCTCTTGGGGCCGTCTTCGGGGCCCTCTTGGGCCGTCTTTGACGTCTGTTGGGCCGTCTTGGGGCCCTCTTGGGCTATCTTGGGGCCCTCTTGGAGGCTTCTTGGGCCGTCTTGGGGCGGTATTGGGGGCCTCTTGGGCCGTCTGGGAGCATCGGAAAGCCCAGAAGGCGAATTTGTGACAATTGTACGTTTTACGAAGGGAATGGGCCGATTTTTGCGTTTAGGGACCCTCTTGGGACGCATCTTGGAGGCCTTTTGGGCCGTTTTGGAGGTCTCCTTGCCTGTCTTGGAGTCACCTTGGTCGTCTTGGACCGCTCGTTTGGCTACTCAAGGCCTTCTTGGACCGTCTCGGAGACCCCTTGGTGCGCTCTTGGCCCGTTTTTGGGCCCTCTGCTCCCACTTGGCGCGTTCGGCGGGGGGTCGTAGTAGGCGAGGGGGGGGGTCAAATCTCCGGTTTCGGGTCCCTGGGGGGGGGGTTATGGGGGGGGAACTATCTCACACGCATAGAGACCCACAAAGGGAAAAATATAGGATGGGCCCGGAGGGTCCTGGAGAATTTTGATCCGGCTTTCGAGGTGAATTTCGTGCGGATTCTGTTTGGCCAGGAATGTAGATTCACCTCGTTTTTCGCTCGCCGTTTGGAGGTCTTGTGTCGGCAGAAATCCACGCAACAAACCGCTGCAGCACGTCTGAAAGGTCGGTGCAGTGAGGATTTTGGAAACAAATGAAACAATATTCAAAACAGATCCCAAAGTAAGCAAACAGCAGTCGAAACATCGTCCCCAGACTACTTCTTGACTGTTCGCGAGTCCTCCTCCTGCCTTCTCTTCGTTATGGGTGTGCCGACGTTCTGTCCGTATCTGGGGAAGTCGTCACCGTGTCCTGGTTCCGCGCCATCTCGGCCGCGATGAGCTCAGCGGGGTTTCTGATTGGGCAGCTCCTTCTCGTTGTTTTTTCCTCCTGTGGGCGCGTGGCCCGCCCGTCCTGCACAGCTTTCGACCTGCTTCGCGAGCCCGCGTACCAAAAAGAGCACCCCACCTGCAGATGGCCGTGCCCGGCTCGCACCTACCCCCCCCGTGGTGCGCACCGCCGACTCCCCCTGCGGGCGCTGGCCCCCCCACCCCCGACGGCCAGCGAGGCCGGTCGCCGGCGCCGCCGGCCCGGGCCTCCTCCTGCTCCCTCCGTCCTCCTCCTTTCTCCTCCTCCTCCGTCCTCTTCCTCCTCCGTCCTTTTCCTCCTCCGTCCTCCTCCCTCCTCCTCCGTCCTCCTCCTCCTCCTCCGTCCTCCTCACCTCTCTCCCCTAGTCTCCTCCGTACTTCTACTCTATCCTCCGTCCCTCTACCGCCTGCCGCCTCCTCTCGTCTTACCCTCTCCTCATCCATTACGTCCTCCTCTCTCCCTCCGCCATCCTCCTGCTCACCCTCCCTCTCCCTCTCCTCCTCCTCCTCCTCCTCCGTCCTGCTCCTCACATCCTCCTCCGTCCTCCCCTCCTTCTCCTCCTCCTCTCCTCTCCCCTCCTCACTCAACCTCTTCACTCCGCTTTCTCCTCTCCGCCTACTCCTACCTCCTCCTCCCGCTCCTCCTCCCTCCTCCTCCCTCCTCCGTTCTCCTCCTGCCTCCTACCCCTACCATTATCCTCCTCCCCTCCTCCTTCTCCTCCTCTCCTCCTCCTCCTTCCTCCTCCTCCCCTCCTCTCCCTCCTCCTCCTCCTCCTCCTCCTCCTCCTCCTCCTTCTCCCGATCCCCCTCCTCCTCCAGGGGGTTCTGTTCATCCCCGATCCTCCTCCTCCTACTCCTGGGCAGGGCGCCGAATTATCGATCTCGGCCTCTTCGCGCCGGAGTTGGAGGTCGGTCGTCGTCCGCGTCCTGCCCCTGTCGCCCTGCCCAGCATCGCGCCCCCTTTCATCGGAGATGTGACTGGGAACCAGATACTTTTCAGCCCGTCCCGTGGTGAGTGGAGGTGCGGGCAGTGCAACACCGTTACAAAGTCCGGCGATGGCTTGCACAGCCTTCATTTGGTGAAGAAGTACCATGTTTGCAATCTCTCGGACATCCAGCGTTGGGCTGCTCGGAGGCTGTTCAATAAATGCCCCGATTCTGTGCCCCAGACGTCCGAGGGAGTCGAAGCCGCCCTCTCGGCCGCCTCCAGGCTGCTCGATGGCCCCCCGCCCCCTGACCCTGCCCTGGTCCCTGGGCGGTCGTGGGGGGCTGGCGCGGAGAGCTCTGGAGAACGTGGCCGTGCCGATTGGGACAGGCTGGGCATGCGCAGAAGCATGTGTGCACCACCGCAGTGCCTGGCACCACCGCAGTGCCTGGCCCTGGCCGGGCACGGTGGCGGTGCACGGACGGCGTCTGCGGTTGGCCAACGGGCAGTGGTGCGGCGTGCCAGATGCGAAGCGAGACCTGGGACGGCTCTGGCTGCGATTGGGGTCTTGTGGCGCGCTCGGCTAGTATATCACTCAGCCTACTCTATCTTGATCCGTATGTTCGGGCAACGCTGCCGGATCATTGAGAGGCGATGTGCTCCACAGGGTTCAGGGATGTGCTCCACAGGGTTCAGGGACGCCGCGACAGCCCGCATGGAGGCTCGCAGCGTCGCCGCGTTTTGAGTGTCGCCTGGCTGCTGCGATGCGCATCCTCGCCGCGGCTCTGCATTGCCCGCAGCGGCGCTTCTTTTCCGACCAGATGATGGCCCCGAGGAGTGCATCGCATCACTTCAAGGGCACCTCCTCGATTGCGATCTTGCGGAAGGGGCGTAGCTATGTTGTCGATTCTCCAGGCTCACGCCACATCCGCCGACCCCTTGATTCGTACCGGCGGCTATCGCCGCGTTTCCGCCTTCACTGCTCGTAGCTGCCAGGCGTTACAGCGCAGTGGCAAGTGCCAGAAGAAAAGATTGAGAGGCATGGCGTCTCGGAGCTCCCGTGGGCCGTCTTGAACGCCTCTTGGGGCCATCTTGGCCCGTCTTGAGGCTTCCCGGAACCCGGCAAAGCCCCGGCGGCGCTCGTCCCGGGCCCGGCGGCGCTCGTCCCGGGCCCTGGGGGGGGGGGCTCTGGTGCGCTCTTGGTTCGTTTTCGGGCCCTTTGCTCCCCCCGGCGGCGTTCGAGCCGGGATCCACCGGAGCTCGGATGACCCCGGCTCGAACGCCTCTGGGCTACCTTGGGGCTGTATTGGAGGCCTCCAGGGCCATCTGGGAGCGTCGGAAAGCTGAAAAGGCAACTTTGTGGAAAAAAGTACGTTTCACGAAGGGAACGGGCCAATTTTTGCGCCGAGGGGCCCTCCTGGGACGCATCTTGGAGGCCTCTTGGGGCCTCTTGGGGCCGTCCTGGGCCGTCTGGAGGCGATCGTCGGTGTCTTTGATCGCTCTTCGACCGTCTGTGACCATATTGAGCTTTCTTGGAGGCAACTTGAAGCGCTCCTGGAGCGCTCTTGGGGCCGTCTTCGGGGCCCTCTTGGGCAATCTTGGGCGCCTCTTGGGCTGTCTTGGGGCTCTGTTGGGCTGCCTTGGAGCTTCCCTGGAGGCTGCTTGGACCGTCTTGGGGCGGTATTTAGGGCCTCTTGGGCCGTCTGGGGCCGTCTGGGAGCGTCGGAAAAACCAAAAAAGCGAATTCGTGAAAAATGTACGTTTTACGTGGGGAATGGGCCAATTTTTGCGTCTAGGGACCCTCGTGGGACGCATCTTGGAGGCGTCTTGGGGTTTCTTGGGGACCTCTTGGGCCGTCTTGGAGGCTTCTTAGCCCGTCTTGGAGCCATCTTGGGCGTCTTGGAGCGCTCGTTTGGCGTCTCGGAGCTCCCGTGGGCCGTTTTGAACGCCTCTTGGGGCCATCTTGGCCCGTCTTGAGGCTTCCTGGAACCCGGCAAAGCCCCGGCGGCGCTCGTCCCGGGCCCGGGGGGGGCGCTCGTCCCGGGCCTGAGGCGCTCGTCCCGGGCCCGGGGGGGGGGGTCAAATCGCCGGTTTGGGGTCCCTGGGGGGGGACTATAGGGGGGGGAACTATCTCACACGCCTAGAGACCCACAAGGGGTCGGCGGACTTCGGCACGGAGCTGCAGTTCACGGAAGTCCAGTCGCTGCTCGCCTGGAGGGAGCTGCAGTGGACGGATGGGCGCGGCGGCACCACGTTTTCGATCTGCGTCCGAGACAGATTGCCTTCGGACGTGCGCTAGCAGTTGCGTTCGGAGGCTGGGGCGGCGCGTTTCAATACCTCGTGCAGTCAACTTGTTCACGTTGGTATCCATGCGGGCTGCAACAGCTACCTCATGTTCATCAGCTTTGCGCCGCCCGACGTGGTCCACGAGCTGCATTGGCAGACGGAGCCTCCACTTCATCTGTTTCCTGGTCATCTCGAAGGTCGTGCGGTCCCTGGTTGAGGTCCCTGGTGGAGATCGCGACAGCGAGTTATGCCCTGGCGTCCAAGTTGGAGGTGCCATTGCCAGAATGCCGATACGCAGCAATCTTTTCCCACCCTGCCACCGGACAGGACGGTCGCCAGGCTGGGGTCCAAGCGCCATCCAGGCATGGTAGAGCGGCAGTGAGGGACGGCCAAATGAGGGCCCCAGCGAGAGAGACCGCGACAGGTCGGGTTCTCTCGCCTTCCCCCCCGCCAGCCTTCCTTCTGTGGGCGATGCCGGCGTCATCTTCCGAGTTTGCGACGCCCCAGACGCCAACAGCCCAGTAGCGCGTTTGTTTTTCCACAGTTCCCCGCCCCCAGATCCCCAGTGGTGTCCTGGAGTGTCCTTGGGTACTTCGGCAGTGCCTGGGACCCGCGTCTTCCTCCATTCTTGCCTCTTTCTTCCTCCCACTTCCCTCCTCCACCCCGCTCCCTCCTTCCTCCTCCCTCCTCGCTCCTCCCCCCTCCCTCCTTCCTCCCTCCCCCTGCTCCCTCTGCCCCCCTGCTGGAGCGCCAGGGTGAGGTTGGGGAAGGAGGGACCATGGGGGGAGGGAGGAGGGACGGGGAGGGAAGTAGGAGGGAGCGGGGAGCGGGGACGGGGGGAGGACGCAGGAGGATGACACCTTGTGCATCCTTCCCTCCCTCCCTCCCTCCTCCTCCTCCTCCTCCTCCCCCCTCCTCCTCCTCCTCCCTCCTACCTCCTCCTCCTCCTCGCCCTCTCCTCCTCCTCCTCCTCCTCCTCCTTCCTCCCTAACCCTCCCTCCCTCCTCCCTCCCTCCTTCCATCCCTCCCCTCTCCCTCCCTCTCCCTCCCTCCTCCCTCAATTTCCCACCCTCCCACCTCCCATCCCTCCCTCCCGTCTCCCTCCCTCCCTCCCTCCCTACCCTCCCTCCCCCCTCCCTCCCTCCCTTCCCTCCCTCCCTCCCTCCCGTCCCCCTCCTCCTCCTCCCTCCTCCCTCCTCCTCCCTCCTCCTCCTCGTCCTCCTCCTCCTCCTGCTCCTCCTCCGCCTCCCATAATCCCCCCCCCCCCCTCCATCCTCCCTCCTCCTCCTCCCTCCTCTTCGCCTCTAGTCCTCCTTCCTCCTCCTCCTCCTCCTCCTCCTCCTCCACTGTCGTCCTCCTCCGTGTGCTCCTCGGGCTGGGCACGGACGGGCCCCGCTGGCGAACGCCCGGCCGACGCGAACGCGTGGGGCGCGGGGGCCCGCAGTCGACCAGCCAGGCGCAGGCGCGCGCGCGCCGAAAACTTTCTGGGAGGCAGCCCCGAAGTCAGATAAGCTAGGCCTCCCAGATGGGGTCGGAGTAGGTGGGGTCGAAGGATCGCTCCGCATCGCCGATGCATCGGCGATGCGGCTCGATGTGGAGCCTGATTTGCTCCACGTCGACGTCGCCGACGCATCGCCGACGTCGACGATGCATCGCAAGTGCATCGACGATGCATCGCCGATACAGCACTGATGCATCGTCGATGTATCGGCGATGCGGCGCGATCCCCCGACCCCATCTACTCCACCCCCATGTAGGAGGCCTCTAGAGAAGGAAACGGTGCCGATACTGCTGCCCTTGCCTCGTTTTCGCCTTTTTGGGCATCCTGGGAGGCCGTCGTCGCCACTGCTGGATTTGCCACGAGATTCTGGTCGGAACGCACCCCAGGAGAGGTCCAGGGCGCAGCTGTACGGGCATCTGCTAGTTTCACCAGGCGGGGATGGCCTTCGAAGGATCTGTCCACGACTCGCCAGGAGGTCGAGGACCTCGGAGCTCCGGATTCCGCTCGGACTTCGCCCTTTTGTCGAGAACCAGGCTCCTTCTCACCTCCTTTGTGCCTCGATCTCATGTGGTTCCTGGCCCTCGAGCCGCAGCGAGGGGCGTTGCTCGAGCAGGCTGTTGGTCGGGTGGGTGGCTCTTCTCGGCTGTCCTGATTCGGATGGCGGGCGGCTGCGCTGGAAAATCGGAGCCTATCAAACGGAGGATGCGGATGAGGATGAGGATGGTGATGGTGATGGTTATTACAAGGATGATGGGAGGGATGAGGATGCCAAGGATGAGGATGAGGATGGTGATCTGGATTACGACAATGATGTTGATGGTTTCTGATGGTGCAGCTGTTGCTGATGATCATGATGATGATGCTGATGATGATAATGCTGATGCTGATGCTGATGCTGCTGCTGATGATGATGGTGCTGATGATGATGATAATGATGCTGATGCTGATGCTTCTGCTGCTGGTGCTGCTGCTGGTGATGATGAGGTTGATGATAATGAGGAGGAGACGGATCAGGACGAGGTGGACGCGCAGCAGTGGTAGTGTGGCAGTGGTGCGTAATCTGATTGGTTATGTTAGTTGGGTTGATGGTAGTGGATTTGATTGTGGTGGTGGTAGTCCTGGTAAGTGTGGAAGTAGTAGTTATAGTTGCAGTAGTCGTAGTGGTCATCGTCGCAGTAGAAGTCGACGTCGAAGTCGTCGTCGTTGTCATCGTCGTCGGCGTCGTCGTTGTCGTAGTAGTAGTAGTAGTAGTAGTAGTAGTAGTGCTCGTGCTGGTAGTCGTAGTCGTAAAAGTGGTAGTAGTAGTAGTAGTAGTAGTAGTAGTAGTAGTCGTAGTAGTAGTAGTAGTAGTAGTAGTAGTAGTAGTAGTAGTAGTAGTAGTATAGTAGTAGTAGTAGTAGTAGTAGTAGTAGTAGTAGTAGTCGTAGTAGTAGTAGTAGTAGTAGCCGTATTAGTAGTAGTAGTCGTAGTAGTAGTAGTAGTAGTAGTAGTAGTAGTAGTAGTAGTAGTAGTAGTAGTAGTAGTAGTAGTAGTAGTAGTAGTCGTAGTCGTAGTCGTAGTAATAGTCGTTGCAGTCGTAGTCGTAGTCGTAGTCGTAGTCGTAGTAATAGTATAGTAGTAGTAGTAGTAGTAGTAGTAGTAGTAGTAGTAGCAGTGGTCGTATTGCTTTTTGTAGTAGCACTATTACGATTAGTGGTAGTATTTGT